AACTTCAGAATGGAGCTTAACTCTTGAAAAGCAGATCTTATTGTCCTCTGTGTCAACTACATACATGGGAATAGTGGATGCAGAATTTATATGTTTATACAGAGTTAATGTCTTTATGTACTAACAGATGTGAGATACCACAGATGGCGTGTGCATGGAACTGTGCAGTATCACCTACCTACAGAATGTGAAACTGCTGAGGCTACTTCCAATGCTATTTTTAAATTGAGATTTATTAAATTGGTGTCTGTAGAAACAAAAAGAAAAGAGAAATTTTAAGCAGCAAAAATCAGGAAGCATTTACTGCTTGATTCTTGATTTAGAAAGAAAAAGATCAGGCAAGAGGGATGGATCATAAAATTTGAGGTGCACACAGCAAAAAAAAAATAGTTTTAGTAGGAGCTGCATATTTTGGATTTCCATATTTTAAAAAAATATGTTGACTTCTCAGATGAGGTTACCGTCACATTCCACAAATGCTTTCAGTAACATTGGTTAAGCTTAATCTATTTGGGCAAGGAAGTATACCGAAGATTGTCTAACATGCTGTGAGTGGCAACAGCTAAATCCCTACACTGTCTTCAGTTAGTAATACTGTAAATGGTCTAAATGTAGTTCTGATGTTCAGAGTGTTCAGCTCTGCTGTCAAAATGGTGTCTTCAAAGAGGCAATTTTGCCACTTAGATTGTTTCAGTTTTGTGGTCCACTTGCTGAATAAATCTACTTGTTATTTATTTAGTTTGTTTCTAAAATTTAAGACCCCCAAAACCTTCAAGGTTCAGAGTGAACAATTCTGAGGCAAGCAGTGAACACGAGTATCTAATTAACATAAGGTTTTCTTTATTCTTACTTCACATGTAAGAGTGTTTATAACATTGAATCAAATAGGCAATAGATGTATGTAATTGTACATTACATAGGAATCATCATTCAAAAAGAGTAGCTATTATATTTTTATCACGTGTGATGTAACAAAGTGATCTGGAAAGAATGGAGTGTGATTAAAAGATTAATATATAGAATGACCAGTGATCAGGAAACAAAAGCTAAAAAGACATGGTGTGGTCTTGGACTTAAGTGTGTGGTGGTTAATCAAACCATGTTCTCACAGGGAATGGATATTATGACTCATGCTAATTCCTTGGACTAAAAAAAAATTGTTTGAGAAGCTGATTTTTTCTTCCCCAAGTTCTTTCAGAGAGACGGCCCAGAGAAAACATACTATATCCCATAAAAACTGTAGAACTGTGGATTCCACAATGGTAACTTAATAGAAATGTATTATGTGTTATCTTATACAGCTGTAATTTAAAAGATTATGTTTAAAAGACTTTGTATGACAAGAATGTGTCATTTGTACAAAAAAAGAAAGGTGTAATTACCTTATAATTATGTAGGTTCAGTATAGGACTAGAGGGTTTAGATGATCCCGGATGTACTATTTATTATCACGTTCTGATGATATGACCCTGTCTGTATTCCTGAGGTTTCAGTGCCTCATTTTTCTTACCTGTAAATTTGACAAGATAAAAAACTTGTTTAATTGCACTTACAAAGTCTGTCTGGTAAAAATTGCTAAGGTGGCATTAAGTTCTCAAGTCTTCCTGCATTTACTTTGCTCAGTCTTCCATTCCATCGGGACAATAGATGGCAGCAAATCTGCATTTGGGCAGTCGTCTTTTTACCCGTGTAGAACGCACGTACAACACCCATTTCTCTGTGTTCATAGGCAGCACTACCTAATAGGTATAAACTGTAAAACCTAGAAGAGAGTTTGACGGTAGCAGTTGGACTCACTTGGAAGCCTTTTTGTCAGAGGCAAAAAAACCCAAACAGATGTTGTCAAATCAGTTAAGTTGGCTAAAGGATGAGCATATGCATTTTAAAAGTTCCTGAATCGAATCAATGGTTGAACGGATATATACATGTGTTTGCATATACATGCATAAAATATATATGACCTTTTTTTAAAACACACACTCAAGTATTTTAAAACACTCATTATAAATTAATGTAGCAAATAAACATAATGCAACCACAGTCTCTGAAATTATAGAAACAATCTAGATTTCCTCTTGGTGAATTACAGTGGCTTGCCAATTTAAAAAAAAAATGTTTCCTGGATAAGTGTAAGTAGCAGTAAAATCCATCTGTCAGGGCTGACAGAATGATGAACTTAAGGGAAAAATATGTCCAAGTATTTAAGCATTTGCTTAAAATAGAATAGTTAGGGAGACGGTTAAAGTTATCCTTTCATATTACGCTGTCTGCTGAGGCGGATGGGCCCTTAGCATAGGAGTGGGTGTATGCTAGTGGTGCGTGCAGGTGAGAACTGATTCAGGGAAGAATGGCATCATCAGCTAGCAGGGTAAACCCACAGATAACAGAACATTAAATAATCGTTGGAATAGAGGGTGGAGAATAGAGGCTTGGCAACAGACTTGGGAGCAGTCTGCTAACAGCAAAAATATAATAAATTAATATGACGGTACCTAAAAATTAAATTTGGACAAAAACTGAATCTCTGCAGCTGAGGGAGGTACTCATTTTTCGAGTAGCCCAGGAAGCATTTGGCAGGGCTGACCGTTCTTAGCTGTGCCAAAGTTAATTATGGGGAAATATCAGCTGCTGCAAGGAGGTATTCTCAATGTGGCCTCTTGCTACAGCTCTGTATCACTTATGAATCAATGAAAATTATTAGAGTAACCACATTATGGGTAAAATTTGCAGCCACATTGGAATTTTCTCTTTAGGAGTAGCTGACCTAGAATAGACATCTCAAAACAGAGGGGACATAGATAAAAATAATTGATTCAAACTGACTGCAGAATGCAACTGTAGTCAAGCTTTGAAGTATTGGAGGTAACGCTGAGGGGGTGGGACAACCAGTGAATAGGTAATTACAAAACCAAAATGAATTCCCAGAGAACAATGAATTAAAAATGATAGTATTTCTTGGGTTTTACTATATATATTTGCATTTTAATGCTGTTTTAATGATACATTGTTTTGTGGAAGCATGTATGGTTTTTATAGATTATATGACAAGATTCCAATTATTTTACAATGTAAAGTCAGTAGACACCCAAAAAAACTGTAGCATTGGTGTGTGACAGAAATCAGGAGAAAGGCTAAAAGCTGGCATGATTTGTTTGCTAGCATGATACTAACAGTGTCCAATTACCTTAAAAATAGTGATTTTTACTTTTTTCTCTTCAGTCACCTGGAACTTTCTTTGTATTTTGTACATTACAATCATGTAAAGTAGAGTGGACAGAGGTAACTGGGCTAATTGTATGGGACAATAAAGATGAGGTCAAAATTCAACTGATACATTTTATTCAGCTTATTATACTACAAAGCATAATACTTGTTTTTCTGAACTTAAAGTTTTCGAAATGTAAGAATGACTTATATAATGACGTAAGGGACAGCAAGAAGAATAGTTTATCAAATGTGTAAAAACATACAGAAAAGTAGTGATTCAGAAACTCAGAAAGCAAGTCTCTCTTTAGATATCTGATGTTAAAGATGGCACATCTGCACTTGAGTATGTCCTAAAATACACTGTCTTGTGTTTGAATATCTTGATACACGTTCGTATTATATGCAGTACATATCATAGAGTGAAAGGTATGTGTAATATCTTTTTGGCAGAAATGTTGTCTTTTGTAGGATCTCATTTTGAGATTTTGTGTGAAGAAAGATGAGTTTATTCACACGATAACAACTGATTTGTACTTTGGATTGTTGGCCATTTTACCAAGTATTTTACTATACTTGGTAATCATGTAAACAATGCTTTTTGATACAGTATGGCACTTAAATTATTTGTAGCTCTGAGTTTTCAGAAAGTTTGAAAATTAGCCTATATATAAGCTAACAGCCTTATGGATTCTGATTTGTGCCTCTTTTTTAATGTGGTCCTTTAAAATTAGGCAAAATGCAAAAAAAAAAAAAAAAAAAAATTACAAAATTGTAAGTGCAGTTGATTGTTTAATGCTAAGCTACCATATGTAGCAGCCAGGAATTGAATTTTCTGAATTATCTGAATTTTCCACTAGAATGCTCCAAGATGGATGTGTATTTATATATATTTATATATATAAATGATTTTTATATATCCTATGGAATATAAAAAGAGATGTATATATATCTTAAATCATGTCAGACATTACATTTCAGAGTACACACCGACTTCGTGGAATTCATTGGTTTTTTCATTGCTAAATTAGAGGCTATGATGCAGAAACAGACTTACTGTTTTGAGGGACTGTAAACGAGCAATGCTGTGAGCAGGAGAGAGAGTGCTGGGTGACTGTAGTGCATGACATAGAGGTGTGTACTCTTGGCTGTCAGATTTTGCTCTTACCTCTCCCACTAAATTCACGCCTGTTTGTCTGTAACTAAACCATTCCAAAACTAGGTTGATACTATATTTAAGGTTACTGGAGGAAAGTAAAGTGTTAAGTATCACTTCGGATTGAAAGACTCTGCTTTTTATGCATTTGGTTTAAGGGACTAATGTGGATTGGCAGAGTCCCCACTAAGACTGTGTTTAGCCAATGTCAAACAGTTTGTCTAATCAGTCTGTTGAGCTTCCTTAGCTTAGTTGCATACTTCACAGCCACCTCTGAAATACGTGTGTGTAACAAGCACATCCAGGAGGGCAAGTAAGAGTGCCTTGGCAGAGGAGGTGAAAACTCAATCAGCTGACATACAATGTGTGTCTGTGTTGGGGGGAAAGACAAACAGCCTGCTTTTTTGGATAGATCTGTCCCACAAAATTTAAGTACAAAAACATTTTTTCTGAGTGAAAATAAAGTATGTACCCATTTATACCATTTTGTTTCATTTTAAACAGAAAGGATAACTGTAAGTGCATGTGGAGGTAGTGTGTACCAGAATTTCAAAAATAACATAGAACTCTCTATATGCAGAGATTATCTGCAGATGCATACAATTACTTCATTTCATTTCATTTCACTTCGGCATTGCAGCAGAGTCTGCTTTAAAGGATGACTTCACTGAACGGCTGACTCATTTAGATGTGGGAAACAGAGATGAAGATACCTGGGTTTTGGATTGCAGATTGGGGCATTCAAATCCGTTTGCTCATTCAAGTGAGAAAGAGAAGATCAACAGAAATGTGTTGCATTTGAGCCTGGAACTGAATGTGAGTAGAACTCTATTCATGCTATATTGGGTTTCAACAAGCATTTATTATATACAGTTACATTTATGGTATGAATTTGTTTCTGGTATGTCTAAAGCCAAGTTCCAAAATATCTGACAAACTTCAAAGTTTTGGATGGGATACAGTTTTCCAGATGGTTTGTGAGCCCATATGCCTATGTGCAGCTAAGCCTGCGAGAAACACATACATAGAAAAATTAAAATTATAGAAATAGATTAAGATACATGATGTGTCATTTCTAAAATCATGATGGATGTTTAGTTCAAATTAGTTGTTTTCCTGGAAATGGGTTGCAGGAGCTAGCAACTAGGAAGCAACAAGGACAAGAACAGGTACCACGAAGATTCAAGTCAGTAAACAGTGTGGGTGCACATGTTGCAGCTGTGCACACATGCATGTGTGTGTGCGTGTACACAGCCCAGGACTGCAAGGAGCTATGCTGTTGCTTCTTAAAGTTTTGGAGCAGCTGAACGGGCACTGGAGTCAGACTGGCCATGAATTTGACAGGAAAAGTTTCTAAACTTCCTGGGATATATGACACTGAAGCTGAGTTAATCACAGTGTGAGACACTTGGTCAACACGGCCCTGTCTAATCCAGCTGGAAATACTCATATGGTCTCGGGATGAGCAGCAACCAGCCTACAGATAGACACATTTTGGCAGCAGTTTTCAAATTGGAAGGAGAAGGGAACAGAATGTAGTAGAAGAGAAACATGGAAAGGATGGAATGGTTGCGAGAAAATGCATTAAAGACTAGACTACATAATACAGTTTGTGCAAAGAAACACCAACACAAATTTATGTAACAGTGACATCTATTGGTAGAGATACCAGAACTGACTTAGAAGTACATTTAAAATGTTCTAGTGATGCTTACACTCACTGTTGCTGTTCTCTTGAGCTTGTTACAAAATTGATTTCTTGTCCTAACCTCCTCTTCCTAAAATAATTAATTAGAATGTAGTTGTAGTACTGTGAAGGTGCAGGTTTATTCTTGTAATAAAATGTTGAGATGAAAACAAGTAACTGGGCTGAAAATAACTGTGATGTAGTTGTTATCACTGTTACAAACATGTGCTACAACAGGAAGAACCCAGTCCATGAGGATACTTCGTCTGCATTTAGAAAGTGCTTGTCTAGAGCAGGAGGAGTTCCAAATTAAAAGTCATTTAAGAACAATAATTTGAGTAAAATAAGAGACATCTAAGCTTAGTAAGCAGTTTGTTTCCATTTTCTTACTCTTTTTTAAGCAGTGTTTTCTGTCTAAAAGTGCAATTAGCTGCATTATGAAAAAGGGAATTATTTCTGTTTCTTGTAGTTAACAAGGAAGAATATTTATTCCACAATTTTTAAGAGCATGACTGATGGGGTGTTAGTGACCCACCAGTACACTTTATCGTGCAGCTCGCTCCCTGTGACTTTCTTGAAAGTCTTTCGGAACAGAACTCTGGGCTGAATTACTTGCAGAGCCCTTGCATCTCAAAGACTATTTATCTGCTTCGAGTCCACGTCCAATTGTGTGACAAGGGATAGGAGGAGGATCTGCCAAAAGAATGATAGTAAGAAGGCTGCTGCTGGTGCTCCCATCAGAATCTGTTTGGACTGCAGCACTGCTATAAGCAGCCCATAAGAAAGATAATGGCCAAAAATAGGCTGAATGAGTTGTTCCCAGATACTGGCTTCCCTGTGCATTCCTCAGACTGGACAACAAGACAACTGTGGTAAAAAAAATGTGCCTGTGTCTGAAGAGCAACTCTGAAACAAAGATGATGTTTCCAGGAAATAGCAGCTGAAAAGGACCAATTTATTTACTCACAGTCCCACTACACCCAGTCATGTGATATATGGCCCTTTCCTGCTGTTGGAATAAAAAGTTTAGCTTGATTGATCAAAAATGCACGACTGTTTTAAAATGCAGTTGTATTCCTAATAGTAACAACGTGAAAAAGAGCGCTTCTTATTGAAATAGCGCTGCTTTCTGTGGATTAGGAACATCCTTACATAAATGTATAATATATTTGTATGTGTGCATTTACAGTTATACTAGTGTTTGCTTATGTTATTGAAAAGATGTTTATGTTTCTATTAGTTTGAAGGAGGCAGGTAAAGTAGATGAGGGAGTTCTGCTCCGACAGGAGTTTTGAATGCACAATCTGTATTGGAAGCCTGAATAAAACCCCTGTGTTAGACTTTAAATCTTAGGTGAAGCGTGCTGTGTTCTCATTCACAATCCAGAGTATTGGAAGCCTGAATAAAACCCCTGTGTTAAACTTTAAATCTTAGTTGAAGCATGCTGTGTTCTCATTCACAATCCAGCATAGAGAAGACATAGAGATACAGAAGATAATAGAACAAAACAGAAATGCAACTCCACCCTATTCTTTATACAGCATTTCATCTTAGATAAGAAAGCATGTAAATGAGATGTGAAAAAGCAGCTAAAATAACTATTAATAGCTAGTAATTACTTAAATTCTGGTAGATTATTTGACGTGACTATATGGATTTTATTTTATAAATGTTTTTGTTTAACCTTTAGACTATTATATCATACTGTAGATGGGGAGCAAAAGGCCTGTTGAAATGAAAAGAAAGTGAAAAAAGAGCAACCTAGAAAAGGAGAGCACAAAGGGACAAGATTAAAAATACATTTCCATTCTTTGTTACGCTAAGTGCTGGCCTTTGTGCCTTCACGCACAAAGATCTCAATCAGTTTACTTACAAGTAACAAAGACAGGGAACAGAAGATCATTGTGAACTGTGTATGTCTGCTTGTTTTATCCAGGAGATGAGCCAATATATCTCTTCTGCAAGTTCTGCCTCAGAACTACCATTGGTTTTTTCATATGATGTGTTTTACAGGCTAACTGTTCCATACAGTTATTGATCCAATAGGCACTCCTTCAAAATAGTAAACTGGCTTTCTTAATGTGCTTTCTGGTTTTATAACCATATAACAATTACGATCTTTTTTCAAATTCTCTAAAGTAGCCCATATTTCAGTGTCAAGCAGAATTTTGGTGAAGATGTTAAAAACCACATTGCATTACAGCGCCCTACACCAAGTGTGTCTGGTGTCCACTCATTCTGTTAGCATCATGCAATGCTGAATTTTGATAAGAATTACCATATCTATGTTTCTGTTGCTACATCTAACCTTAATTACTTACATTTAGAGCGATTATGTTGGTGATACCTCAAGCCTCAGGAAAATTGCTCACATAATGGTCTGTAGTGAGGTAACAAGGCTGAGAATAAGGATGAAAATCCAGGACTTAACAGATTTCCTTCCATCTTCTGTGCCTTTTCTATTTTAGAGCATTTAGGAGTTAAAATACTAAGTATAAAATGAGATAAACAGCAGGAGAGACAGACAGGAGAGCAAGGGAATGTTAAGATCATAATCAGGCAGCACAGTAAGCACAGGGCTGGGGACAGGGCAGAGGGCAGGGCTGTGTCAGCTGAGCTTCAGATCAGTTCAAACTGCCTGAGCCACAACCACAGCCTGCTGTTTCATGTGGCTCTTCTGAAGCCTGACACGATTCGTGCACATTTGATTCTTCGATTATTTTCAAGAGATTATACAAAGTTTTCTTGGTTTAAAGTTCTTTATGTTGAAAAACACGTGGCTGTTTTGTAGAATGTGTCTTCATGCCTCGTTCATGTTTCTCTAGTTTGTTATTACAAGTGATCTGAAAATGCGATCTGAATAGATATGGGATCGGGAAGCCTTGAACCCTGCCGTATGATGGTGGTAGAAATTAGATTACTTTATTCTGTCTTATTGTGTGTTTTCTTCAAAGCTAGTTTTAAAACCTACTTCAGGGAAGCTCTTAGACACATCAAGAACAGAACTGGAGTGAGTTGTAGGTGTGGCTTCTGTCTGTAATGAAATGTAGGTCAGAAAGGGTGTGGATTATTAAATGTGCTTTAAACTGTAAGGAATGATTGTCCTTTTGTATAATTAGTGTGTTGACTGCCCTGAAAGTTGCTGTGACAGGTTTTAGGGGCTTTTCTGAGGCACCAGAGAGCTGTCCATTTTATTAAGTAAAGAGACTTGTAATATTATCATAACTGATTTTTTCTAGAGATTTTGAAGTTGTTTCTTCCTTCAGATGCAGTATTACAGCCTGTTCAGAGAGAGTTTCCTTATGAGATAGATCCACCCAGCATTAAAACCCTTCTGCTCCATCTCACTTGCACATCAGAATATGCTGATCTCCTTCTTGTGTAAAAATATTAAGGGCACATATCAATGTATGTGTTTTACCCAGAAACACTCTATCGGGTAAGTACCAATGTGTATTTCATAATCAGTTATCCTGTCCCTCAACAGGGGTCTGTCTGCTAGGGTGATCATCAGACTGTGAGAAACAAGTCCTTACAAAGGCGTTATTTGAGGCCGGGGCTTTATGGGCTGAGTGGTGAATTTGACTGGCTGGCTGTGAGTTTTTGATCATTTCTCCAGGGGTAGATATAGAGATGAGTTCCTTTGTTCATCCTAATGCTCAAAAAGCTTGAAAGTTTCTTCTCACTTCCTAGAGTTTATTATCAAGAGGAGAGGTACGTGTAAAGCAGTATCATTTTCTGCAGGCTTGTGAGATTACCTCTGGTTTTATAAGGTATATTTCTACTTCTGCACTTTCAATTATTCAGTGTTCAACTCTGGGTTTTCTAGCATCTCAACACCTAGCATCTCACTGCATGTGGCTTCACACTCAAAGCACCATCCTTTTCACTACTAATTTGATCGTTGTCTTGTAAATTTTGTTGGTATGTTGTTCAGACATAAAGTATGGTTTTCCTGCTAAGTCCACTTTTTTAATCTAAACTTTTCATACATACTATTAAAATCTTAAGTAGTTAGGTAGTGGCTATTTCAGTAACCTGCTTATGTACAATATTCATAGGACTGTTACAGCTTGGTGACCCTAGATTATTACAGAAAAGTTTTATTGTAAGTGTGGGTTGTCATTAATATAAACACATAAATAAATATTTTGGCATACTCTGAATAAGTATGTTTAGTTTAAAAGGTACCATGAAGTTGTTCATATAGGTATATTTTTTGTTAGTGACCAACAAAACTGTTCTTGAAAAATATGATTTAATGTTTATACATCTTAAGTTAGCCAATCTCCAAATAAATAGGTACATAAATAAATAAGCAAGGCATAACCACAGAAATTACCAGGACAATGAAAGTCCTGTGGCTGAACAATAAAAATAGATGTAAATTTAAATGTAGAAAACTTTGGTTCAGTAGGGTCACTTTGCCCCAGTTATTTTGTCATAAAATGAAATTCAGAATTGCCGTAGATTTGCCTTCAAGCAATCTTGTTTTAGGGGAAATCACCAGTGCTGAGGTAGCTGCCTTCCACTTCTCTTACTAACCCTGGAATTATAAGAGTAGGTTGGCATAGGGAGCGATAAAGACTCTATGTCTCTTTCCTTATGTAGAGCTTCCTTTCGTGATATTAATCTGTATTAAGCCTAGAAAGTCAGGGGAGCCATGACCTGTCAGTCGTTTCTGTCCTTGGCACCTAATGATTAAGCATAGCGGAGATGCAAGTCCAGAGCTTACTACAGGAAATGGCAGGCAGTAAGGCAGAAGACTGTTCTACGCTAAATCACAGATAAAGGTGGGAATGGTTCCAGTGCCCTTTGTCTATAGGTATGCATGCAACCTTGTAATTGAAAAGTTGTCTGTAAGCTTCATCTAAGCCCTTAGTATTACAATCTGACTTTTGGGAAAATTTCTTCCTGCAGTAGAGACCGATGACTTTTGCTGTTAACTTTATGGTCTTTTATAGTATATTGAAAAGGTAAACGCAGGCCTCTTGTATGGTCTACATTTTTAAACCTTAAACCAAAAGTTAAATGTGTTGGGGTATTTTATTTTTGCTTGTCTGTAATATTCAGCTTTTCAGTAAATGTTTTTCAGTAATTTGACACTGTGGTGTGATCTGCAGACGATTTCCCTATGAAGGACAGCTTTCCCCATGTTGCTTGTTTAAGATTACTTATCATAGCTAAATGACTGACTGTAGAATGACCCACTAATTTGGATGCAAAAATAAAGAAATAGTATCTTTGAATTTTTAGGGTACCAATGTGGAAATTTGACTAAACTTCTTAAAGGCCAGGGAATAAGAAGAATACAAATTCCTGCAGATTTGCAGTCTCTGTCGTTCCAAAAATAAGAAAAGGAACAAAAGTGAAGACTTGTGACTGGAACTTGACTTTCTGAATATCAAAGGTGCTTAAGAGTATTTTGTACTTTCTTTATACGTGTGTTATGAAAAAAAACACGTATTATCCCTGACAGCTTCTGTTAATACTGAGTTCTGCAGTCTTGAAGATTTCCCTCAAGTGTTTTTGCCAGTATTAACTAAAACAAATCTCACACATATAGCATTACTGTGGCAATATATATGGCTGAAAGTTACCAAAAAAATATGTCAGCAGAGATTGTTCTGGTTTGCAATAATCCAAGTTTGGGTGCAGTGCAGATGGACAGCCTGAGCGCTGGCTGTTTACCCTGCCCACCCGAACAGTTCCTAGCCACTGGGTGTGGCGAAAGCCTTTGATAAGTACCTGTGTACAGTTCACAGAAATAGCTGTGCAGAGTTAGGACAGTAGTAATATGAAACCAGTCTTGTGGGTTTTTGTTCATGGCCCCGGAGGCTGAAATCTGCATTCCAGATGAAACCTGCAGCAAATCGGAA